CATTTAAGCCGTCTCCAGCCATTATTAGTCTCAAAGTGGGTTCCTCGTCATCGAATTCTTAAAGGTATGTGGTTTCTTAAAAATAACATATTGAATTTTATAGTTTTTCTATTTCTGATAAAAAATTCGTTATTCCTTGTAGTTATTTGCACTCAGACTCAGAATAGTTCACATGCAAGGTGATTTTTACATGAGGTATAAAAATACTACTTTTTACCTTACAGTTTTCAAATTTAATTTGCATAATCTCTAGAGCCTTGTAAATGAATATCAAAAGTTTTTTAAGGTTAATGTTTGTATGTTATTTTCTCTACTATATCACTAACTCTATTTATCATTATCAAATGTTAAAAATTAATAAATAGAAATATGTACATAAATTTCAACTCCTCATAGAAATTCACTAGAATAGTCATCCTTTTCACATATGTATAATTTCACAATTTTATCTTTTCACTTATAGTTTATTTTTAATTTTCCTTTCATATTCTTTTTTGTTTATCACTTATGCCAATACGTCAACTGATACCTGCGAGCCTTTATGAATTTGTTTCAGCAGACTTGTTACTTAAACAAGATAGCATTTATACAAACCATCTGTTTTATATAGCTTTCAAATTCCACAATTTTATTAAGCTACTTTCTGTTTATGTTATGCAATCAGAATAGCATAAAATCTTAGCTAATAATCCATATTTTAATAGAATACAAGTTTTAAGTTCTTAATTCTACAAGGAAATATATAAAAAAATCCTGAATTTCCACATGTGACCTACATGACACATTTTGTCTTAGCATGTCATCATCCCTACTTTATCCATCACCCCTTGAAAATGTACGAAATTAAATGTAAAATACTCTCTATAAAATCGTTATTGCTGAAACAAACCATAATTTTTATAGCCTTCAATTTTGTTTGGTTACAGAGCTATCAAATAGAAAATCAGACCTCTCCTGCCACATCCTCTCTTTCAAAATTTGTTGATTGTTCTCTCTTACTTTTCATTATATATTACCTATAACCACTAGAAAGTCAAGGTATTCATCAATTTCACTTAAAGTAGCAACATCATTCCTGTGGAAAAGTTATCGACTACCTTGGATGAATTTGTAAGGCTCTTGTCACACAGTTAGAAAGCCAAGAAAATTTTGAGAGGTAAGTGAATTTGTCTACTTTTTGCTTGTTATTAGTCTATATTCTTTGGTGTATTATTTAATTAAATAAAAATTGTTAAGTGCTTTACTATAATCACTAAAACAATCAGGCTTAACTCTCCTCGACAATCGAAGGCAAGAAAAAAATAAGATTGGGTAAGTACTTTTAATTCTTGTTTTTCATATTTATTCTTTATTTATTATTATAAAAGGAACTAAATTAAAAATATTGATCTTTTTAAGTTATT